CCCCCTTGCCCCCCCCCTGGGGGCTGGAACCCGCTGCTCAACACCCGCCTGCCGGGGCCCAAGCCCCCGCCCCCAAAATTCTCCGCACCGTCAGCGGTGCGAGCAGGGCCGGCACCATCAGTGTGTGGAAGCGGTGGCGGCGGTGGCAAGAGCGGGCTGCCAGCAGACAGGGGACTGGGCTGTGGCAGGAGGGCCCAGGCAGAGGTGCAGAGCATGGGCCGAGACCCGCTCCTGTGCCCACCACAGCCTGGCAGCCCACAGTTCCTTTCAAGGTGCACAAATTTGTGCACTGGGCCCCTAGTAGGAACATATGTAAGTCTGTTATTTAAAGATCTTTCTTTGGCTGCTTTCCAATACTCTCATTTCATATATTAAGATATCAGACATTAAAATTTGCTTTTGAATGAATCTTTGTTGATCAGGCTTCAGCCTTAGTTTTCTTAAAAGAAATCTGGAAAGGGATTAAAACCTGTTTAGATACACTCGGTATCAGAATGTTAAAGGGAGGTTGGAAGAGAGAACATTGCTTACAGTTCTTTGGTACTAAAGGCAGTTTTGCTGTACAGAAAGTGAAATTTTATATCTGGTGTTCTCTACCTCACAAGAAGGGGTAGAAGTTAAAAGTGACTTTTTGGTATAGGACATTACATTCCTAGTTATGGAAACTCATGATAGGTAAATAGGTAGGCAGGCACATATGTTTGAGAATAAATCACAATGCTTAGGTAACTGATGATCACTTTTGTACTGAAAAAAGATGCCCAAGAGTACTATTCTATACCCAATTGGAATATTGCTGTTTAGTAGGAAACTGAACAATGTCTTCTGCAATCTGGAGTTCATCCAGATGAATTTCAGAGGCTCTCTGAGGAAATCATAGACCTAACAGCTGTTGTGAACACTAGAGTCTGGAGTCATTCTAATGCCAGCATGTTATGCACTTAATTAGTGTGCTGCCAGCTCCCTGGTAACAAGATGACTGGCTTAATGAATGTCCTAAAAACTTGACTTTTATAGACTGGCTTAGCAGACAAAGTTAAAGAATTATGAAAATCATTGTGTTAGAAAAATGGCAAGAAGCTTTCAAAAGTGATTATTAAAATCAGAATTCAGACTATATAGCATTAAGGCAAAAAATTAATGGGAAATATTTTTTTTTTCAAATGCAAAAAGATAAATATGACAACATATTTCCCTGTCCTTCCCACCTTCTTCCCTCTTGTGAATTAAAATGAAACCATTAGGAAAATGATCATAAGATTATGTTAAGTGAAAAAAACCGTGATACGGAATTACAAATACCAGTGTTTCTCAAATTTGGGTTCTTGATTCTTAAAGGGCCCATAAGTTCTTTAAAAAAAAAAAATATTTGTTCTTGTAAACTAATGACATTTGGGGCACATATAACTGTAAACATAACCTTTTCTTTAAAAAATATGTTTTTATTGACTTTTAGAGAGAGGGGAGGGAGAGTGATAGAGAGATAGAAACATCAATGAGAGAGAAACATCATTGATCGTCTGCCTCCTGCACAACCCTATTGGGGATTGAGCACAAAACCCAGGCATGTGCCCTGACTGGGAATCGAACCCTGACCTCTTAGTTCCTAGGTCAACACTCAACCACTGAACCACACTGGCCAGGCCATAACTTCTTTATGAGAATATATTGAAATTGTAGTTTCTAACTCTGCTTCAGCCATACTGGCCTGTTGCTATTTCCGGAATTAGCCAGGCCTAGTCCCACTTGCTGTGTCTTCTACATAAATGTTTTCCCCTCTGTTATCTGTATAGTTGAGCCCCTTACCTCCTTCAGATTTCCCCCCCTCAAATGTCACCTTTCATAGGACTTTCCCTGACAACCCTATTTAAAAGTATGCCCCTCCCAAGCACTTCTTACCCCAATCCGTTTTATTTTTCTATTATACTAAACATCATTATATTAAATACTTTATTTGTTTATTAGTTGTCATCCTCCACAAGAATAAAGGCTCCTTAGAGGCTGGGATTTTTGTCTGTTTTGCTCAATTACTATAATTACAATATTTGTATATAGTATGGGTACTCAATAAACATTTGTTGCAAGAAGGATGAATTTATAAAGAACTTCTACAAATTGGTAAGAACATTGCAAATAGGAAAGTCGTAGAAAAAGAAACCTAAGTGACCAAGAAACCATGAAAAGTTACCAAACCTGTTAGTAATCAGGAAAAAGCAGTTTAAAATGGCAAGATCCCATTCTATACCCATCAAATTGGCAAAAATTGAGAAGTTTGATAACACTAACTTTAGAAGTCCAATAACTGTTGAGTTAAACTGTGAGTGAATTAATGAGTTAGAGTACTGCTTTTATATGCCATATAAAAATTTGTTTAATATATACAAAGTATTAATGAGGATGTTGTGCAACAAGATGTCATACCTTGCTGGTGGAATGCAAATTTATGCAACCACTTCAGAGAGCTATTTGCAATATGTGGTAAATTTGACAATAGCACACCCATGACCCAGTATTGTCTAGGTTGTGCCCTAGAACAAGGGTCAGCAAACATTTTCTGTAAAGAAACAGATGATAAAAATTTTAGGCTTTGTGGGCCAAAGCAAAATTAATGATACTATGTAGGTACTTATATAACCACTGAAAGTGTAACCATTTAATCCTTAGAGCAGGCGGAGCTTGTAGATTATAGAAAAACAGATGGTAGGCAAGATTTGGCCTGAGGACCATAGTTTGCCAGGCCCTGTTCTAATGAAACTCCTTCTCAAGTGCACAAAGTCACAGATAAGAGAACATGAGAACATTCATGGTAGCTTTATATATGACTAGAGGCCTGGTGCACAAAAATTTGTGCACTCGGAGGGGGGGGGGGTCCCCCAGCCTGGCCTGTGCCCTCTCGCAGTCTGGGACCCCTTGGGAGATAACGACCTGCTGGCTTAGGCCTGCTCCCGGGTGGCAGAGGGCAGGCCCAATCCCTAGGTGCAGCCCCTGGTTGGGCTCAGAGCAGGGCTGATTGGGGAGTTGGGGCGCCGCCCCGTCATGCACAGAGCAGGACGGATCGGGAGGTTGCGATGCCACCCTCAGTCACGCTCAGGGTAGGGCCGATTGGGGAGTTGGGGCACCGCCCCCTGTCACACTCAAGGCAGGGTCGATGGGGAAGTTGTGGCGCCACCCCCTGTCACGCACAGAGCAGGGCCAATCAGGGGGTTGGGGTGCTGCCCCCTGTCACTCACAGAGCAGGGCCGATCAGGGGGTTGGGGCGCTGCCCCCTGTCACTCACAGAACAGGGCCCATCAGGGGGGTTGGGGCTCCGTACCCTGTCACACACAGAGCAGGTCGATCAGGGGGTTGGGGAGCTCCCCCCTGTCATGCACAGAGCAGGGCCCATCAGGGGGTTGAGGAGCTCCCCCCTGTCATGCACAGAGCAGGGCCGATCAGGGGGTTGAGGAGCTCCCCCCTGTCACTCACAGAGTAGGGCCG